CGGTGTTTTTCCATCAACAGAATAGGGTGGGTTAAAATTTCTGTTGCTTTTTGATCGTTCTGTCTTGTTTGACTATTTTGTCTATAGGCAGGTAATTCATATGTTTTACACGTTTACTAACTATACATTTTGTCTCAAGATTCTCTCACAGATGTTACTTCACGTCGAGTACCGATTTGCATTCGTCTTGTTCTTAGCGGCAAAGACAACCGAAGGAGCTGGAAATGGTGTTTTCTTTCAAATCAAAGAAAACAAATTTTTCAGCTTTGGAGAAGAAAGCCCTTTTTGGTCTGGGGCTGATTCTTTGCTTTCCTGTTCTGTTTTGTGTGCGAGGCAAGCTTCTTGCAGAGGTGCAAACTTTCTGCAAAAAGCAGGACATTGTTATCTTCTTCGCGACGAAATGCAAACAAGTTCAGCAGCTGGGTGGCTTTTAGAGCGAGATGGCTCATTCTATTTAAAAAAGGTATTTCACATCTTTTTTGTTTTACATGTTATAGTTTTCGGATGACAACTTGCGATCATTTTAGCATTATCACGACCCAGAAAACCGTTGCTCGATGTTTCCCATCAGAGTGAAGACTTTTCACAGCAAAAGTGATCACTGTTACCATAATTTCAAGAGACAAAAACTCTATCAAATTTAATTTCAGTTTAAGAAAACTACGAAAAAGACCAGAGCGTTTAATTCATAGTGCGCTGAATTAATAAAAAAGAAAAAGTCTTAGATGCATGAATATTTATAAAGAGCAACATAATCAGTGGTGATACGCTTTAAAAAATAGATATTTTGGCGTTATCAACTGAGTTGGTAATGTTAATTGGCCACCTTCAAGAGTTTTGAGAGCTAGCCTTTCAAGCTATGGCCCTCCTTCAGCTTTAGGAACTCAATGTTAGCCAGTTTGCATTGACCGCACCGATTTAACACCAGAGCTTCTTTCGAAAATTACCCCCTTTAGCTAAAACATAGGAACGACATAACCAATTACCACAAGTTAATTTCAAAATCAAGCTTATCATCCAAAGCACATAAAACGTCCAGTTTTAAGCGGTAGCCACAGACAACTACGAGCACGTACATTTATTAAGCAATAAGCCTTCAAGAATTTCGTACGCATGCATATGAGGTATGGATATTAACTGATATGTATTGTTTGACTCCAATGCAGGTTTACCTCCTAGGAATACCCAGTTCACCCCAAGGTGAGAGCGGCAGACTTGTGTTGAGATTAATAACTAGGGGACTGATTTAAACTGCCATATTTCACCCTCTGGACCCCAACATCAATATGCATATTCTCCATAAACTGGTCTTTATACTTTTCTTAAGGTACTGGCTAGGAGAATTTGTTTATCAATCAAGAGCTTCGTTAGTTGGTGATCGTTTCCTTTATTATCGTGATTCTGGTTCAAGGGTGATTTTGTAATGAAAAAAAAAAATGCCATGGGTCATTCTTAGGGGTCAAGTTATTAATGAAAAGTTGATGGCAGTTTCTTAGCTTTCATACCGCAGAAAAACACGACACAAAAAATTGGAAGTTGAACATTGCATGGTTTTGAAAGACTGTGATCATGATGTCGCAGTAAAGTTGGCAAACAACAAAAATTTAAAAAATGAGTAATACTTGTCTGAAATATCGTTGAATTGTCAGATCGATGAGCAGGTGAGGGAATAAGAGCTGGATGATGAACTGGGGACAGAGAACTGGTCTTCAATAATAAAATCTTTACGAAACCCAGTTTTAATAATTGAAACACTTGTTACCCATTTTTTTCAAAACTTTATGACCTAATAGGTGAAACCATTCCTTTGCACTC